CCACAAGGAGCCAGCTAGCAGGCAGCACTCCTCCATGGCCTCTGATTCAGTTCCTAGCTCCAGGTTCCTGCCTTGAGTACTGTACTGACTGCTCATTGACAGGTTGTTGTGGGGTTGTGTGAGTTGATTTTGGTCATGGTGCTGATGGCAGCAAACTGAAGCGTAGGGTGGGAATCACCTAGATGGGGCATGAAGCACTATTGACAATGCATTTCCCAGGATCTGCATCTGTTGCGATCTGGTCACTTCCATACTCCGAGAGGGCTTTGCAGCCTCACGTGGCTCTCTTGTGCATATGCAGTAGTTGCTTCGTCACCATGACAAAGCAACCGTGGAAAAAGCAACGGAGTGAAGAGAGGGTCCACTTTGGCTCACAGTTTGAGGGTAGAGTCCGTTGTGCTGGGGGAACCAGGGCAGCAGTAGCTGGAGGAAGCGGGTCACATGGGGACCATAGTCAAAAAGCAGAGATGAGGTGCCAGAAACCAAACTTGCCTTTCCGTTTTCATCTGTTCCGTAACCCTATCCTAAGGGATGGTGCTGCCCGAGTTCTTGGTGGCTCTTCCCACCTAGGTTAAACGTTCATGGAAATTCCCTTTAGACCAGAGATTCTCAACCTTTCACAGGGCTCACCTAAGACCATGGGAAAACAGACGTTTGCATCATGGCTCATAACAGTAGCAAAATTACAGTTAAGAAGTAACAACAAAAATAATTTTATGTTTGGGGGTCACCACAACCTGAGGGACTGAGTTAAAGGATTGTAGCACTAGGAAGGTTGAAAATCACTGGTCCAGACATACTCAGAAGTGTGTTTTCACGGTGATTCCAAATCTAGACAAGTTGACTATGAAGGTCAACCGTCCCAGTATCTTAGAAGATATAGACTCTAATTCAGCGTTTTCTTATGAGCAAACCCAAGATGATACTGTAAACCCAAAGAGTACTGAACTCCTCCCACACCGGCATCTGACTGTGGCAGGTAAGATGGCTAATTTCAGCTCAGCACCTTGTCTCAGGGGTGTTGCAGGGTCAAACGAGGTAGAACTTGTGACTGCAAGCAGCTTTTGTGTCATTATTGATTTTGGAAACAGATGCTCTTGGATCTAAGTGACATAAGAAGTTGGAAAGTCAGACTATACCTAGAGAATAGCCTAAGCTATTCTTGATTTTTGGCCCATTCTGAAACAAAAATATCCTGGCTAGATTCTCCTACCTGCCCCCTCCAACAAATCTGGCTGTACCTTCATTCCCTGGTAGATTCAGAACCTCTTTTTATTTCTAACCAATAGCTTTCCTAGGGTAGGCCTTCCAAAGCAGCAGGTGTTAGTCCTGTTTTATGAAATTCTAGTCTAGTTTATCCTCGAATTTCTTGATTTTAGATTGTAGTCATCGAACCTCTAGTCCTCATTGTCCTTGCTCATAGCCTATGAATGTTGATAAAACTTAGCCTTTGGGGGCTGGGAGAGATGGCGTAGTCAGTCAAATGCTTGCTGTGCAAACACAGGACTTGAGTTTGGAACCTCAGAACCCACAGAAAAATCCAGGCATGACGGTGCCTGCGTGTACTCCTGCTCTGGGAGGATAGAGGCAGGGCGTTGCTGGAGCTTGCTCCTCAGCCAGCCTCACTGAATCAGTTCAGTGAGAGAGGCAGAGACAGTCTCGAGCTGTGGGTCATGACCTGACTTGGAGATCACGTATCAGATATTCTGTACATCAAATATTTACAATAAGATTCATAACAGTGGCAAAATTACAGTTAAGAAGTAGCAATGAAATAATGTTATGATTGGGGGTCACCACAACATGAGGAACTGTATTAAAGGCTTGCAGCCTTAAGAAGGTTGAGAATCACTGTGTGAAGTGATCAAAAAAGACACTTAATATCAATATGCGCGCACATATAAACATATACATGTTCTATGTGTATGTACACGGGTACATACACATAGAAAAGTGCCACTTTGGAAAGCATGGATGTAGGTGGTTGGGTGTTCAGTTGAATAAGCCATGTCAGGGTAGGTGGATGGAGTTGGGAAAAACTTCACCATGTCCTCGTCAATCAAAAGTGCTAGCTGCTTCATCAGCAGCTTCCTTCTGAGACCCTCAAGTGTGACAGAAGTCCTTCTCTGCTTCAACTGTGGTCTCTCTGTCTTTAGTGCAAAGCTTTCTTCTTTTAGTTACTTTTTATTATTTAAAAGCCATCATCGTTGGTGTTGGTGAGATGGCTCAGCAGTTACAAGCCCTGGCTGCTCTGGAGAGGACCGAGTTCAATCCCCAGCACACACACAACTCTAATTCATACACACACACACACACAACTTTCTCTAATTCAGTTCCTGGGGATCGGTGCCCTCACATACACAAACATGCAGGAAAAACACCAATGCATATAAAATAAGTAAGTCAGTAAATAAATAAATAAGGAAGTGGTCATCATGTCAGGAATTGAGGTGAGTGAGTTCACATTTTTCTCTGTGAAGGTTATATATACTGTCAGATAAGGATTAGAGAGAAGTCAAGGGGTTGATCAAAGTTACCGAGCAAGAAAGTGCTCATCAGTGTTGCTCACCAGGGTCAGCTGACCCTTCCCAGATGTGCTGCAGATGTTCTGTGATAGGCTCAAGCCATCTTTACCTCTCTTTGCTTCTTTCTTCTCTCTCTCATTTATTTATTCTTTCTGTTTTGGAAGGAGGTACTTTTCCAGTTTTGAGATTATCATTACAAATTTCTTTCTTCCCTTTCCTCTCTCCACACCTTGCTATATACCTCTCCCTGCTCTCCTTCAAATTCATGGCCTCTTTTTTAAAAAGCCTTCTTGTTGTTACATGCATATATGCATATGCATATTTATTCCTAACTATAACCTGTTTACACCACACTGTTACCAGGTATGTATGTTTCTCTTTCCTCTTTATTAGCAGTTTGCTCCCTGTTGGAGAAGGCCTTTTCTGTGTTGTACTGTCATGTATGTCTTCTCATCTTCCCTTCTTTACTATGGTTTATTATCTTGCCATGATATCAGAGACCACAAAAACCAATCTCTTACATTTTACAGTTCCTTTAGCAACATGATTTTCTCCTCCAGCTAATCAGATAAAAAAAAAACTTTCATGAATGAATGAATGAATGAATGAGGGGTCTAGGAGATAGCTCAGTGGGCAAAGGCACTTGTCCCTAAGTCTGACAACCTGAGTTCAACTTCTGGGGCCCACTGGGTAGAAGGCATTCCCTGACCTCCATATAAGTGTCCTCCTTCAAAGAAAGAAAGAAATGAATTTGCTGAGATTTCTGGCCTGCTTTCTTACTTAGGGCTACTATTGCTGTGATAAAATACGATGACCTTTTAGGGAACTTGGGGGAAGGGCAGGAACTTGGAGGCAGGATGCTGCTCACTGTCTTGCTCACCATGACTTGTTCAGACTGCTTTCTTATAGGATCACCAGCCTCTTCCTACATCAATCACTGAATAAGAAAATTCCCTACAGGCCTGCCTACACCTTGATCTTATGGGGGTGTTTTTTTTTTTAGTTGAGGCTCCTTTCTCTCCAGTTATTCTAGTTTGTGTCAAGTTGGCATGAAACTAGCCAACACACGTGCTAAGATCGTTTGTTAAAGCAGCAGTTAAGAGTATGTGATCTTTATCAAACTGTTCTTATAAAATACAGGTTCCTTTCAAGGCAGAGGAAGGGGCAGGAGGCGGTGGCAACAGGACAGAGTGCATTCTCCCTGGAGACAGACAGATCCTGCCTGTGAACAGGTAGTCTGAACAGTGCTCCGGCCTTCCCGGCATCTCTCAGGGTGTTGAATGTTCTCATTAACAACATGCCAATTCCCATGACCGTTTGGTTGCTGTCTGATGTTGTGTGTCTCATGACCCTCAGTCACCATCAGCTCACATGCTTTTCCTGACTCTGTGCAGGCCAGCTTATCTGCCAAGAGAGCTTTCTTTAGGGTCTGTGTTTGGGGAGGTAATTTATAGACTTGTATGACCACTGGAAGCAGAGATCTGTGATAACAGACTGTTTTCCTCCTTTGGCATGACTTCTTGTAGAAATGATTATTCCCTTACCAGGGCTGCTTTGGGAGGCAGCCTTTCCTTATTGTCCGTCCACTGAGGAGGGAGAAGACCAGGGTCCTCTGCCTGTGCCGCCTCTCCGCTAAATCTGGTACACTGCCGTTTTAACACGTGCCAGTTCAGGGTGGATGATTGAAAAGGATCTTCCTAGGTTGTCGAAACCTTAAGAGAGTTCCCTAAAGTCTGACTGTAGCATAAATAGTAGCAAAGTCCTGGTGTGTCTCACACTCAGTGTGTACGCGAACATACACAATTGTCTTTATACACTGTATCCTTATGTGTATAGGCATTTTACCAACAACCTTGCAACAGGATACAACATTCACAGCCGTGTATGTTCCTGTGCACATGCTACATACACTGTGCACACGCCACCGAGACTGTGGCTTCTTTCGTGTAGACCAGGAGTGTCCAGTCTTTCAGTTTTTCCAGCTGTTTGAGCTTTCAGACTGACAGCCAATCATTCATGGCAAAAGAAACCCCACCACAGAATTCGGCAGTGCCAAGGGCTAGCCCGGGGCACCTCCAGCTGCTTTCGAAGAATCCTTTGATGGGCCCCACGCCTGCAGCAGGAAGGTGCCAAACACAGCTAACTTTTGGAAAGTGGCACATCTGCGGGTTCTCTGATGGGCGAGCCGCTGGAAGGGCCCCCTCTGTCCTCGGGGTACTCAGATCCGCGTCTGCTGCTAGCAGGGCTTTGACTACTTCATCTACAGAGGGGGTTAAAAAAAAATTAAAAAAAAAAAAAAAAAAAAAGCCATGTAGTAGCAGCAGAAGAGTAGCAGGCATTTGCGGGCCACACGGAGGACACGTGACTCAGGGCGGGGCCTCGTGCGGAGCCAGCCAGTGGCGGGGCTCGGGGGTGGGGCCTGGGCGCGCAGCTCCCGCGGCCCCGGCTCGCTCTGCGGGAATGTGGGCTGGAGTGGTCCCGCTGCGGGGCCGAGGTGCAGCAAACCACAGGGTCGATCCGTAGCGCCATGGCCTGCATCCTCAAGGTAACCGCTCAGCTGCGGGCCGCAGGCGAGCTCCGCCCGCCGGGTGCGCAGAGGCGTGGAGCCTGCCGCGGTCCCGCCGCATCCTCAGCCCGCCCGTCCCTTCCTGGCGTCGGCTTCCTTTTTGTTCCTTTGGCCAAGGCATCTGGGTGGGAGACTATGCAATGTGCATTGGGCACAGACTCCTTGCCTACACCGCTGCCGGCTGGCGCCTGCCTGGAAGGAGCTGGGGAGGGAGCGCGCGCTGGTGTGCCGAATGATGGGCATGGCAGGAGGAGCAGAGGGTGCTCTGAGCTTTGCGGTCAGGGAAGCCCGAGGCCTGCGGGGGGCCACGGGCTGAAAAGGAGCCTCCTGGCATGGGTGAGGGGCACGGCTTTTGGGAAGAGGAGGAGAGGGTTTGGAAAGCGTGCAGCCTTTGCTTCTGGGAACACAAAAACTTCTGGGGCCACAGGTAGCCCCGGAGGAATGAGTTTCTGGGGAACTAGCTCCAGGTGTTGGTGCCTGCAGTTTGAAAAGTTCACTAGATGGAGATAGATAGAACCTTGGACCTCCTCAGGCTCACGTGTCAACAGACACTCTTACTCAGAGTCCATTCCTGTTGTGTTCTTTCAAGTCCTGGTTCTTTATGAGTTCTGAGTGCCACAGGCTTGAGGTCTTTGGGTGGACCTGCTTGGTGAGGACCTTCCATGGAAAGACTGTTTCCGACCTACTGGGAACGTTCACTCCCACCCCGTTCTGGTTTTTCCTTACTGCCCTTATTCGACTGCCCAGCCTGACATCATGGATCAACATGTGTGCGGCATGAAGGTTCCCCATCCCTGAGGGAACTCAGAGGTGTTTTGGTTCCAGCCCGGAGACGGTGCCGCGGACCAAGGAGACTATCAGAGAAGCAGTGTGTGTGCTGCGTATTGCTGCTGCGGCGCTTGGTACAAAGTCTAGTTGCCCCAATCTTCCCTTCCCAGCATGAAGCGAGGAATTGGACACTTCCTGTGACTTTCCTGAACTTGCTCTGTGTTCTGGAGCACTTTCCAGGACATGGCCAGTGGTGGCAAAGTCAGGAGGAAGTAATCCATTGGTGCCACAGAGTGAAAGTCAAACCCCCTGGCCCAGGGCAGGAACTAGAGCTAGAACAGGGCGTCACCTCCACGGATGCACCGTCTTTGTGTGCATGTTTGGTTTGGTGCGGTGCTAGTGGTCAAACCCAGAGTCTCACACATGGTAAGCACACGTCTGCCCACAGAGCTATATTCCCAACCCCCTGGAAGCATCTTTAGTGCGTTGCCAAGGTCACACACAGCTCTCACCTCATCTTGGACTTACCACTCCTCGTGTGGAGGTGGTCCTGCAGCCCCTCCTTCTTTGCCTTCAAAACCTACCCATGCCCGAGGAAGATCAAATATTCACCTGAATTCTGGCTCTGCCTCCTGCCCCCTATGTGTGGCCTTGGGCAATTTACACGTCCCTGAACACTAACTCCTTACATTAGATCAGAGTAATTGTGCACACGGTGTCACGCTGCTGCGGAGCTTGATGGAGTAGGGCCTCGGACTGCGGCATTCTGACCTTTCCCACAGGGTAGGGCTTCCATTCTGTCAGACGCTCTGCCCAGTCAGTGCCCTCGTTCGCAGCTTCAGGACAGAGTGAGCCTGGATTCAGACCCACATGTGAAATGCTGTCACTCTTTAAAACTGTCCCAGGAGACGGCTCCAGGCAGCCCTTATACTAGTCAGTCCTGGCTATCTTCGAGTCCTCCCCACCTCCCCTTTTGGTGATAACTTTGATGTTGTGGGCTGTGAATGTCTGGGCCACATGGATGGCTCCTCTGGGCTGTGGGCAGCCTCTGCTGGGTGCAGGCTGGACCTACTTGGCCCTAGACAGTCTCTGAGATCCTTTCACCTGCATCTTTGAGAGTTACACACGGTGGAGTGGGGCGCACAGGTTCCAGACAGGAGGAATGAATTCTGTGCAGGCTTGGCCTTTTGCACTTGATTTTGGTTCCCTTCTTCCAAAGCATAGAGAAATATGCAGTTATTATAATTTTAAGTGTTGTGGTAGCAAATGGAAAATCATAGACCTCTTGTTGATTTTAATGAGACTTCCTTTTTCCTTTTTATTTTCTTTTTTGTATTACTTCCTCCTGACTTTGCCACCCCTGGTCATGTCCTGGAAAGTGCTCCAGAACACAGAGCACATTCAGGAAAGTCACAGGAACTGTCTGATTCCTCTGAACCTACTTGGGTGTTGGAAACTGAGCCTGGCCTGCTGATCAAACTGACAAAGAGCAGATTAATAGGAGAAGAGCATATGTAATTTATTTGCTGTTCATAGTATTCTGTGTATGTATGCATATGTGTATGTTTCCCCCTGTGTATGAATGCATGTGTAAACATGTGCATATAAATAGACATAATTACTTATGTCTTCCCCGTGTCTCTCTGTATGAAGTACATACTCAGATGTGCTGCCCATTTTTTTGTCAGCTTGACACAAGCCATGCCATCTGGGAAGAGGGACTCACTTGAGAAGATGCCTCCATTAGTTGACCTGTAGGCAGTTAGTTCTGTGAGGCATTTTCTCCACTGCCCTCTCTGGATGGCAGCACCCTTGGGCAGATGATCGTAGGTGGTGTAAGAAAGCAGCCATGGGTGAGCAGGCCAGGAAGCAGTGCTCCTCATGGACCTCTTCTTTGGTTCCTGCCTTGAATTCTTGCTCTGACTTCTTTCAATGATCCACAAGAAAGTGTGAAATTAAGTTAACCCTTTCCTTCTCAAGTTGCTTTTGGTCCTGGTGTTTTATCACAGCACTAGAAAGAAAACCAAGAGTAGGGGATGGGCCTGAGAGTTTGTATCCCATTTTAACAACAAGTGATACATTATGAAGACATAAGACAAGAATAAGGAGGAGGAGGCCTGGGCTATCTGTTCCGAATGTCAGGAAATGGCAGGGAAAGCAATGAGAAACGAGTTTTATTTGGGCACTTTCATCTTGGTCTTGACCCTCTAATGATAAGAATATTCTACTCTGGGCCTAAGGAAGGCATGCTTTTCCAATGAGTGCTCTGCAGGGTGCTGTTCTGTACCTTGCTTTGTGAAGAGTTTCTAGCCAGAGTTTCAGAAAGTCATAATGAAGCATGGAGGTAGACAATGACTAACCCAGAGGCCACAGCCAAGGCTGCTTCCCACTGATGGTTGGTGCTGAACAGGATTACTGCCTGCGAGCTGTGTTCCAGAAACATTAACTGTAGTGGGCAGAGGCTTTCTGATGCGAGGAGACTGAGTCATCCTTTCTACCTATGTGGACACCATGGTTGCTTCTACAGCAAGGGCGGGAATCTCTAAGGGGGAAGGCTGGCGCATGGCAGCTGATGAGGGCCTTTCAGGGACACAGAGCTGGTCCCTGGAGACACTGTGCCTACCTCAGGCCCATCTGGTCCCTCAGAGTCACTTATGTTGTAAGGTACATGCCTATTCTACATTGCAGGACAGTGCGCACAGAAGCAGGTGCTGTGTAGTTATGCCTCTACCACTTACTGATTGAACCACAGAAATTTTTTTTTTTAAATTTTTAATTTACCCCCCCCCCTGTTTCCAAAATGGAGGCTATTGTAGGGGGAAGTGAGAATATCTGTGCTGGTTATCCTGCAGGAAATGACAACCCCTGTCTCAGAGGGTTCATTTCCTGCCTGCATCAGGCTGCTCTTCTTCTGAGCCCTGCTAGACCTCAATTCAACAGCCACTGTGTTCCTAAAGGGTGAGGTCTCCGAGGACCCTTCTGAATCCCCTGCCTGCCGCCGCCGCTGCTGCTGCCTCTAAAGAGGGAGATTAGAGAGGAGAGGATCTCTGGGGTGTTTAAGAGTCTTTGGAATTTACTAGACAAGAAAAGTGGCTACTTTATAGTACTAATAAAGCTAAAATTACATTTATATTATTTACCTTTCTTGTGTTTCAGAAACTGTACAGTAGTATATGTAATAAAAATGATTTCTATTTTCTTCTATGATTTCTTCTTGTGGTGAGCAAGTAGTTTTTGGGTACAGTATTTTGTACACTTGTGATATGTAACAGATCTTTGTTGACCTGAGTTCTGTATTCAGTACTGAGGCGGACACCTGGTGGGCTGTGGCTGTGGAGGCATGGGAGTGATTTCTGACGTGAAGATTATGGTTTTTCCCTGTTAATCAAAATTTTGAGCATAATATAGATAATAAACATGCCACAGATGCATGTCTACGCTACTTTTGCTTTCCTCTACAGTGACCTGCCCTTATACATTTATCCAGTTGATAAGAAATTACATAGTTGTGGTGCAGACTTACATAGTTATCTTCTCATTAGTCTTCTCTCCCCTGCCCAGACCTAATCCTTTACCATACTTCAACGTGGGAGAGAATCTGGCTTGTGCCCTTTACTCTCATTCTTGTCCTGGAGCCTTGTATTTGGTCAGCATTCGAGCAAGGCTCCTTTCTTGGCAGCTTTTCCTCATTGTTCCTACAGAGCAAAGGGGCAGTACCCATAAGCCCTTTGGGGCTTTATTTCATACCTTGGTTCACTGAGCCTGGGTGATAATCAGGCTTAGCATGACCTGCAGGTTTTTTTCAGAATCTGGTTCCTGTCTCAACAGCTCATGTCTCTACTGCTCACTCACTCCTGGCCTCCACACTTACCTGCACGAACCTCAAGTCTGGGCAACATGGGGACTATTAAGGTGTTGAGCTTTGGGGTTAGACAGCCTGTCCCAACTATGAGGCCTACGCCTCAGTTCCCTTATCTCTGAAGTGGAAATTAATACAGATCACAAAGGTAGAAAATCTACTTTCTATGAAACAGGAACGTGGCATCTATGAAGTCCTCAGCTGTGGTTGTTTCCATGCTGTTTTTCTGCAGGAAATCCCCCGTCTACAAACAGGCTGCTTCTCTGTCAGCAGGAGCCTGTAGGCTCTTGGAACCTTAGCTGTTGTCTGTGTAGCAGCAGGCTCATCCTGTTCTGTGGACACCCAGCTGTCT